CTCTCTTGGTAACCAAATCACTTTAGAGTTACTTTTAAAGTCCCTTTTTAACTTGTAAATGCTTTACACAGCTTTGCAGTTCTGTGTGTTTGGTAGTTCCTTATTCTCCCAGGAATGACTACTCATACACTGTAGGCAGCACAGGCAGTCCTGGTATCTTTTCATGGCTGGGAAAAGAAATCCCAGGAAAAAGACATCTTGAGATTCCAAAGCTGGTAAAGGTTTTACTTGAGAGTGAAATTCATTTTGCTGCTATTGGTGACAAAAGATCATCAAGAATTAAACCTGTTCTTTAGGGACACACACTCTACCTTTCTCTTTTCTCTTTTAATCAGGTTGGTTTTCCAAATTCTGAATTTCATTTTTAACACTGATTTCCAAACCCTGAGGACAGCCTAATAAGTCCACTTATTCTAAATTCTGAGTTCGTTAGACTTTAAATGTAAGAGTTTGTTTATGATTAGGACTGATGTAAGTCTTGTGCTTCATCTATTACATTATCCAGTAAGGTACATAACTTGTATTGTTTATAATTATGTATTGTTTTTAATATAATATATTATTAATTCATATGTTGTTTTTAATTAAATATGTTTTAATACTTAAATAAATGTTTTTTCTTGGATATTTTTATTTGTAAGGGAACATGTAGAAAATGATTCAGCACTCAAAAGTAGAAAGAGGGGAAAAAAGCGTTATGTCAGCTGTGGAGCTTCTTAAGGTGTCACAGTCAAAATCTGTTTGTTTTTTTCTGAACTTACCTGAACTCAGGGCCCCAGCGTTCTGAGATAGCAATCCTAACCACTGTGCAACCATGCTCTCCTCAACAACTATTCAAGAACAGCAATTATCATTTGGATTTTCAACACTAAAGCTGACAACATTGTCTAAGATGATACAAAATTTTCTAAAAATAATGAATATTAACAATTTAAACACACAGTGAAACAGGCAAAGCAGTGATTGTTCTTTAGAGATGCATACACTTTGTGACAGTAAATTACTGGTGATGTATATTTAGGCAGCCCAGACAGGTCTCTCTGGGGTCTGTCGTGTTTTGAGTTTTGTGGTCAGGCTCATGCAGAGAGCTGATCCCTTAGGTAACCTAATTAAATTACTGAAGTAAACTGAGAACAACCATTATCCCAAAATTATCCATTTTATAAGCATCAGCAATCTATTTAAGAATAGAAATAATAGGTAAATGTGTACAGTAAAAAGCCATTTCAGTAATGAAAATATATAGTATTCAAATTAACTATAAGTCACAAATCTCATTATAGTCGCTAAGAGACTTACAGCAAATTCTAATTTGTTACCTTAAGCAACCGATAACACCGGGCACTTTTTAAAATCTGTTTTGAGACTCTAAAGACAGATATTCGGTTACTTTTAAGTATTTCTTTTCTCTCTAGAAAACTGTCCAGTTTGAGCTCTGCTGCTCTGAGTTTCGGAGAACGCGAGAGCTCTTTAAACCGCAACAAACGCGTTTAAAACAGATCGATATTACAATTTTATAATATACACTTAAAAACCGTTTTATGATTCATGGTTTGGAAACATGGTTTAACTCTAGCTGAGGGTAAAAGTTTAGGCAATGACTAGTGTTGTAACCAAGAAATTGTTTAACACCGACCCATCCTGACACCGGGTGTAGTTTGTTCTGCAACACTAAGAAAATAATTTGACTTCAGTGGAGAACGTGAGACTGGACAAAAGTAACTGAAAATGCAAGCGGAATGTCTGAATCAATTAATGTAGCGCATTCATTAGTACCACTAAGAACCGTTAGCTCCTGGTATGGGAATTTCTTCATTGAGATTCTGCTGTTCAGTAGACACTGCAAAAATAAAAAGAAATTAAAACTTTCTTCCAAAACCTATCTGGAAACATAAAATTCCTTATTTTCAAAACCAACAGAAAAGAGAATAAAAGAGGTTTATATCCTTTTAATATTCTGAACCAAAA